GAATTCAAAATGGCATTCAAGTTGACAGCAATCCATATCTATCCAAAACATGGAGAGAAAATGAATACACGGCTTGCATTCCAAGTAAGAAATAACTTAGAGTAATTTTTGCTAAAAAAATTAATCATTTGTTCATTTTCCAGTTATATAGCAACACAACTGCCGTAGCAATGGAAACATATCGAGATAAAAATATCTTATCAAATATTGATTCCACTATTATTTACTGCAAAAAAATAAATCGACTCATTGATATAATGAACTCTTCAAAACCTGACAATGGATTGAAGCTTGACTCTCAAGAATATGAGGTGACTGTACCTTATTGTTTTCCATATAAATATCTCGATTTGAACAAAAATATATTGAAATATTCCAGTATCTTTGCATCGTATACTTAGTTTGGCAAGTNGCAAAAAAAATTAAAAGCACCACCAAATGTGGAGAATGTGTGGATTCGATATTGGGGAAGGGAAATGAGATGTTCAATTCCCTCATAAGAAACAAGAGCAGGGGATTTTTAACATTTCCATCACAAAAAATTATTAGCTTTCTTCACGATGTTGAAGCCACAATATCAGATGTTTTTGAGAGGGAACTTACAAGAAATTGCCTTTCAGTAATTTTAAGCAAATTGTCCAATTTTTCTCCCAAAAATATTGTGGGTTGTGAACACCACAAGGAAGAATTGTCAAGAGAGGCACTGAGGGCATATTTAATCTCGAGATTGAGTATCTGCTGTGCTAAAGAGCATAATGTAAGAGCCCTCGAAAATAAATCTAAATATTTTTCCAAAATGGCTAAATTGTATTGAAGTTTATCTCTTAGTGATTTTATGAAATTAGTGCCTATTAATAATACCCAGGGAACTGTTATGAATTCATATCATATATTGAAATACTCCAAACCATACTGATAAAATAAATAAATTGACAAGTACTACAGGTATTTTCAACAAAGTTAGGTACATTCCACACAGTGCGGAACAAATGTTCCCGGAATGTACTTTTGAAAAGATCATCTTTACACACTAAAATGAGTGCCAAAAAGTAGACCTTTTCCGCAAGTTATAATATTAAATGAAGTGATTCTTTTAGGTACATTAGAAACATTGACGGAACTTTCGGGTTTCAAAAAGAGGTTTTTTCTATGCTGAAGGAAAAAACTAAACATTTGAAGGAATGGGAAGAACATGGATGTCTTCTCGTCGATGAATGCAAGATTTCAAAAACAAAAAAATTTGATAAAAAACTCCATGAAATTTGTTGGATTTGTCGATCTGGTAGAGTAAACTCCTAAGAAAATGGAGAACAATCTTGGAGACCATGCATTGGTCTTAATGTTCCAACCATTTGCTGGTCATGGTGACGGGAGATTTTGGCCAGAATTATGTTGGAGTGTGTCATTCTTTGTGAGAATGCAGGGTTCTACATTGATGTTATAATCAGTGATGGAGCTAGCTGGAATCGAAAAATGTGGAAACACCTCAGTGTAGAAAATAGCCTTCAACCATGGTGTGAACACCCCATGGATGAATCTCGTAAACTGTGAATGTGTTCAGATTTTCCCCACCTCATCAAATGTTTGAGGAATAATTTGATGAAGAAAAAGAAATTCAAGGTATGACGGTATTTTGTTTATTTATAACATCTCACCATCAATAAATTATGTATTTCAGGTTTCTGAAGGTTGGGTTCTGTTTTCCCATTTTGAAAACTTTTTGAACATGAATCTAATAAAGAATTCAAAATGGCATTCAAGTTGACAGCAAGCCATATCTATCCAAAACATGGAGAGAAAATGAATACACATCTTGCATTCCAAGTAAGAAATAACTTACAGAGTAATTTTTGTTAAAAGACATTAATCATTTGTTCATTTTCCAGTTATATAGCAACACAACTGCCCTAGCAATGGAAACATATCGAGATAAAAATTGTTATCATTTCCAGCACTTTTTTGGAATGATGAGAGCTGCAGGTGGATGCAATACTCATCCCGAGTCAATTCAAGGTGGACAAATATTTCGCCTGATGTCCCTCTATTCTCTGATAAAACCGCCCAGGGGAAGGAATGTTAGTGAAATATTAGAAAATATCTCCGAAATTGAAGTGAACTTCTCAGATATTGATGAAGCTTTTGCTTATTTCTGTGGATTTGTCGCAAAAAAAATTAAAAGCACCACCAAATGTGGAGAATGTGTGGATTTGATATTGGGAAAGGGAAATGAGATGTTCAATTCCCTCATAAGAAACAAGAGCAGGAGATTTTTAACATTTCCATTACAAAAAATTATTAGCTTTTTTCACGATGTTGAAGCCATAATATCAGGTGTTTTTGAGAGGGAACTTACAAAAAATTGCCTTTCAGTAATTTTAAGCAAATTGTCGAATTTTTCTCCCAAAAATATTGTGGGTTGTGATCACCACAAGGAAAAATTGTCAAGAGAGGCACTGAGGGCATCTGCTGTGCTAAAAAGCATAATGTTAGAGCCCTCGAAAATAAATCTAAATATTTTTCCAAAATAGTTGAATTGTATTGTATAGTTTATCTCTTAGTGATTTTATGAAGTTAGTGCCTATTAATAATACCCAAATGCCGGGTATTTGTTGAATTCTATTATATCCTCATGAATTACAACAAGCATATTTTTAATGGCACTGCCTGATCTGGAGAATGCCACACACCAGCTGCAACAGGCGATCACCCAAACAATGGAAAGAAACGCACGGGAAGTCCCAACCCAGCCCTTCAACTTACAAGAGCATCTTCCACCAGAATCAATGGAGCTCATTAAAATTAGAAAACGCCTAAAAAGACGATATCAACGGACACGCGCACCAATGGACAAAAGTTGTATGCAAAGAGCCGGCAGAACACTGCGAGAAGAAATAAAAGCAATCCGAGATCAACAATGGACAACCTGTCTAGAAGAACTGAACACCGAAGACCAGTCTGCATGGAGAATGCAGAAAACTCTTAGGAAGGGACCTCAAAAGCCATGCCCGCCAATACACGGTGAGCGAGGAATCGTCTACACGAACCAAGAGAAGGCGGAAGCATTTGCGGACAATTTCGAAACCCCCGCGAATCGCCATCAGGCGACTCAGGTAACCATAAACTAATCAGATAAACTCTCTTTCAGGTAGGTTCAACGCAGAACAATTCGACCGCGACCGCGATTCACTTTTTCTTAGATTCACTGAGGAATGCTCGACGCTAGCAACAATAGCCGCCGGTTAGGTTTTGGGGGCCCCATGCAAAAACTCAGTTAGGAATAGTCACGATAAAACAATTAACCGATCAGAAAGAATAGCACCTAAAGGCTGACTTTCGACCAAAAGAGGTCAGATGTCAATCTTGCTGAAGTGCTTATCAGTAAGTTGAGGACCGCTCGGAGAGCTGGGGTGGATGGAGTGGAGTATTAGGTTTCCTCGCAAATTAATTGTGAGGCGAAGTTTTTACTTCAGGGCACTTAACCCGGGAGGGGGCATGGGAGGCGAAAGGCAGTGTAGAGAGAACGACGTCCCGTTCACGGACGAAATAGAACAAATAGAGACACAGGTGGAAACGAAAGTCCTACCACGTAAGGGTATACCAGCTATAACAAACAACATAAATTCTATACCCAGACAACAGCACTTCACGTACTCGTTCAAGGAGGCGTGGGTTATCCACATCTCGAAGCCAAAGAAAAACCACCTATTCCCAGATAACCACAGGCCCATCAGCTTAACCCCTTCCTCAAGCAAAGTGGCAGAACGTGTCATCCTGAAAAGATATGAGTACCAAACCAGCGAACTAGGAATCCTACTAGATGAACAGTTCGATTAGAGATCAGAACACTCGACAGAGTTGCAAGCCCTGAGGGTAGTAGACTTTGCGACGGAAAGCTTCAATCTTGGCAGAGGATACAACACCGGAGCGATTTTCTTAGACGTCTCCAAAACGTTCGACAGAGTTTGGCATGACGGACTTCTGGCCAAAATGAGCAACTTTGGCTACACTTAACAAATGGTAAGATCAATCGAGTCTTTTCTAGCTGACAGGCGATGCCACTGCAAAGTAGGACAAGAACTCTCAACCATGCGATTACTGGAAGCAGGGTTCCACAAGGTGCAGTCCTTCCGCCACATCTCTTCTCGGTATACACAGCGGACGTGCCCAAGCCGGAGAAAAACTTTAACAAGTTGACGCTCTACGCGGACGACACAGCTCTGCTGGCGAGACCATAATTACAGAAATCTTACAAACTTCAATATACTTTTACAGACAATAAATAGTTCAGATTCTATCTGAACTAAAGAAGCTATTCAATACATCTGATGGTCAATGAAAGGTAATTGACCATCTTACATCCATTGTAAATTAATAAATTTTGCCTAGTAATTTGCAGAACCCAAAGGCTTGCATGAGGAGTTCAAGGTGGGACTGTAGTGCTATTTCTCTTGGATGATTTTGTCTATGTAACAAGATATGTATGTATAAGGAAATCAATGTCCTAATTCATGAGTACAACTGCTAGGTGTAACATACATACATTCATAGTCACTATGAGTAGATGTATTTTGGTTGAATATCTATTAGAAAACAGCTGTTTCTACTCATTACATTGTTTAAAAACAAAAAATATTTTTATTCAAATTTACTCCAAATAATAACTAGACGTGACCAGGATATACATTATACTTACCTGTTCTAATATTCCTTTTCATATAGTTCATTACTTCCTCCAAATGTTTTCTATTATTACTGAATTTCAATGTAATGACTTTACGACTTCATAAAATCCCAATCCCAACTATCACGTTACACAATGTTGGTACTCTCAGTACATATGGTTAACTGTGATATGATGAATCGAGACAGTAAAAAAAATTTGTATTGCAACTTTCTCATATTAGCTACCAAAGAAATAAAAATCATGTATTACCCACCTGTTGAGTAAATTCTCCATTTTGATTGTAGATACATACACTTCTTCCAATATTTCAGAGGTAAATAAATTATAGTATTATCTGAAGAAATGTAAGAATTATAAATTAATATACGTTACGACAATGATTTGAATATTGAAACTTGAAATTAATCAATTTCCTACCTGCAATGGGCAATGGGGAAGCAAACTATCAATTTGTTGTACATAGAGGGCGCTAAGTGTTTGTCATCAAAAGATACATTGGTTATATGGGAACATTTGTGATTTTTCGTTTTTATTCAGAGAAATGGGTCGTTGTTCTTCTTTCGGATGCAAAGAAATGGGAGTTTATAAGTTTCCTAAAGATACTATTATGAGAAGAAAGTGGGAAAAATCTTTGAGGATAGTAAAGTTCAAATGTACTGATCATTCTAGGTTATGTGGTAAACATTTCAAACATTCTGATTTTGAGACTACTTCAAAGACAACTGGTAAGTAGCATTCATTCTACTTACTTATACGTGATATTAATTTTATAAAATTTAATAGGGTTTCCACTCCGAAGAAAATTTTTAAAAAAACCAGCTGTACCTTCCGTATTTCGCTGTACTTCGAATTCTATCAGTCCACGGATGTTGAGATTAGAAAAAAGGAATGCTAAACGTGATTTGAAGCCAGCTAGTACTGACACATCTGAAATTGCCGAAGATAAAGAGAATCAGCTTCCTCTCTATGGTAAGTATCCAATAAATAAATTTATTATATTGGCTGCTCAACCACCACTATATTCCATTTGATTTTCAGATATACATTATCTAGACCTCCAACAAGAAATTGCCTCAGAAGTTACTTTCCACCCCGAGGAAGATAATCCTGATGAGGAAAACCTAATCAGCCAGTCCACACAAACACTAACTTTATTCAGATTATTGCTACCATAACACACCATCAAAAACAAAAATATAACGGAAACATATCGGAATCGCAGAACACGGAAAACAAACTGTCAAGTGTCTAAAGACAACTACGGTTTTTCATGCATTTCAGTAGATGAGCGTTGTTAGATAAACTCTTCATTTTAACAGTACTGATAAGAGTGATGGGACATCTTCAGATGATTCGTCGTTTTTGTCAGTTTTTTTACGTTGAATAACATTAAATCAATAGGTAGAATTGGAACCTCTGGCGTAAAATAATTACAACCAAAGAAAGCACTTGTCTCGAAGCGCGTTTCGCTAACCAATTCAGTATTATTAGGAGAGGACTAAAACTTGCCGTTCGCTAACCAAGTTTGCATCATCAAAAGATGAGTAAAACTCGGAGTCACCAGGGGATGACTAAAACCATTTTTTTTTGGTTAATTCTACGTCATATAAGTTGAGTACTCAATTAGTAATTTTTAATTTTTTTGCGTGAATTTTCAGTCTTGCATTTTAGTGTTTTATATATTTTGTCTTATTTAATCTTATATATTTTTTTGTTTGATTCACGTCATATGACTTCAGAACCCAATTATTAGGTACCCCTTGGAATCTGACTCACCCTTCATAAGTATGCATGGACATCCCCGGTTACGTAAGTGACATCTATTGAATCCAACCCAAACCTTGTTTATCTAAAATAACAAAGGTCCCCATGGCAAACTGTTGCAAAGAATAGCGTTTACTTTTCGTTACTGGTGTTCTAGCTTCAATACCTACTGACTGCCGCTTTATCATAATTTCAAATTCTGTGTGTGATTAGATGTACTTTTTGAATGCAGTATAAATAAATCATAAACTGTTTGAAACAAACACTTTTCTCAGACACCACGATGAGAAGATAATTTATTAGAAATGTGAAATTTTTGTATAGGTAGAGATACGGAGTTCATTACTCTAAAATGATTGATCTATTTGAGTTCATTTTCAATTTTAGAAGAAATGTGAAATTTTTTATATACCAAGGGTGCGGATTGGATTTTTTATTATCGAATGTGATTAACCTGGTCGAGAATTATATCTGGGAGATGCGACCTGCAAGAATTGCTGCCGACCTGCAAGGTTTACTTTCAGTTTTATGAGAATTGTGAACATTTTTCATACTCAAAGGGTGGGGATGATTGGAATTTTTTTTGTGGAAAATGATTAACCTAGTCGAGATTCATGTCTGGTAGACCTGACCTGCAAGAATTTCTGCCGACCTGCACCGTTTATTTTCAATTCCATGATAATTGTGAAATTTTTTGTAATATGAAGTATACATTTTTTGTTTACATGAATAAACTGTTAGCATAACTCTGATTTCCAAATAATAACGCGTATTCATCAAACTGTTCCTTATTTTCGATACTAGGTATGCATCGCTTAAATGGAAATAAATTATCAAGATGTGGGGATACTGATGAGAATTTTAACAATAGCATTCTGTCGCTTGTCAAAGTAATTTTAAGAATTTTCTTGTAATAACATTTATTGACGAAAAAAATTGTTTAACCCTAAAAACGGTTAACACAACGAAGCGTGTTTCGTAGTGAAAGTAAACATTTCAAAGTGAAAGAGAATTTCGATACGATAAGTTCATTTCAAAGTTATCAAACTCCAAATTAAAAATACTCCATCACAAAGAAAACGCATTGTTATAAACAAGCTCAATGTGTATTGAAAAAAAAAATACAATGATACAAAAACAAAAATGATATAAAAACAAAAAAAAATATTGAATTAATTTCAAAATTCATTATTTTAAATTCCTTTGGAATCGATGAATTAAATTTTTGCTGTCGATTTGGTTATTAACAATAACTTCTTTATGAAAATTACTTTTTGTTTCCTATTTATTGCGATTTGTATTCAGGTTTGATATGATTATGAGTTGAATTGATTCATTGAAATAACATATTGATTTTTCTTTATTTTTCACATTACAAAAAACATGCAAATTTTAAAAAGATAACTCATCTCTGTCAATGTTTTTTCTTCATTGCCAAAGAATACAAAGCCTATAGAATCTCAGAAGTGGCATTTTCGTGTTACCTACATTTTTTAGTACTTACCCTGACTACCAGAGGGCGATGTCAGTACAAGTATCAACAGTTAAGTACCATTTGAACATTGGTATCTTTTGGTATGTTAAAAATAATAGGGTACATTTTTATTTTCACTAATGTCTTATGGTGTTATATCAAAAAACTTGATAGATACACCAAATCATGATATTTCCACCAGCTGGAAAGATTGGTGAATTGAATTTTAGTTAGGTTAGGTTCATCCTCTGATGAACTTGATGAATCGAAAAAGCTAGAAGAAGCACCATTATGTTTCATTAGCAAAAAGTACTGCAAAACATTTTCATTTTGAACAATATGTTTTCCCTTTTAGTTTATATTTTTTATGGAACTAGCAAAATTACACAAAAGAGTTCTTTTAATTTCGATTGAAACATTGTTGATTTTATTGAAAATGACATTTGATGTATCTACCAATTCTCACCACAACCACATTTGATGGAAATGAAAATGAACCCGTAGACTATATTTTTGGAGGTTTTGGAACGAATCAGCTTATGGAACTTTTATGGCAATTTTCAATATAATAACAATTTGTTGAACCCACTTTCAGCATCATTTATTGAATAATAGATATATATCAAATATTAAATTTCCAAAATAAAACTAATTTCTCAACAAAAAATATCAATCTTATATTAGAAAAATAAATGGAGACGCTTTCTATTTTCATAACTAAAACACTGGTAATCAGAATTAGAGCTTTGAAAATCCTGATTTTTCTGTATATGTTACTATTTTGGTATGTCAGTATGAAAGGACCATTGTCGAAGGGTGGCACTAACGTTAACACATACTTAATTGAAAGAAAAAATATGGTAGTTGGGTATTTTCTAATACATGAATGAAATAAAATTATGTAATTACCAAAGTGAAATCATTTTAGTTACACTACAAATATTATATAATTAGCTTATTCCGTCTAAGAATCAAACAAACCTAAAAAACCTAGTCAATTCTTAGCTAGCGCAAGATTCAACTTTTTAAGGTGGTCGTTTCTATGGAAACGACAACTGGTTGACAAAGAAACCTATTTCAATCAGATTTAATAATCAATTATGGCCTAGGTGGTAATGCGGCTAGTCTAGTCGAAGTTGATTTTGCTGATGCGACATGGCTGATGGGACTACAAACTATGATGGTGCCCTCTAGGTGGCTCGGGAAGCTATTAACATAACCCACTCAAAACACGATGCTGTAAGTTGTCAAATACCTGTTTCAAATACATGCAGGTCCGTAGCGAAAAGAAAAACCAGTGGAGGGGAGGGAATCCAAATTTTCCCAACCCCACCCGCAAAATTTCCCAACTTCTGAAAAAATAAAAGCCGAGGGATTAGTAACTACTATAATATATTAATTTTCTTACTTAGCTATCCAAAGATTGGCTGAATGAGTATGCTAGTTGGGGTATGCACAAACAAAAATAAATTTTGGTAATTATAAAAATAATAATGGGAATTATTCTACTTTGGACCAAGGTCCTTGTTCTTCCACTATATCCACCATATAGGAATATTCAATACAAATGAAAGGAAACAACACTTGAATAATATATTGTGCTTTTTGTTTTCTACTATTATTTTTTCTATCTTCACGGCTCGAAATATCCCTACTTTTCCAAGTCGAATAAACAGCGAAAAGTTGGAATTTTGTAAAATTGTCACTTCAAAATTTGTGGACTGTTCAACTGTTCTCTTACTTAGGAGAAATTAAACTTTTTTGAAGTTTTCAAACAACTCAGAATTTCAAAGTATGGTATCTCCAAGTTATGCATGTTGAGAAATCCCAACTTTGTCCTGGTTCCTTCCCTTTCCTTATTACCTCTCCCTTTCTTTTCTCTCATTTTAATTTTTTTCATTTTTATGCATTTTTTTGCAATTATTTTTTTCTATCTTCACTTCCCAACTTTTTCCCAAGTTGAAAAAGCAGGGGGGGAGGGTCCCCCCCATCCCTCACGGCGACGGCCCTGAATACCTGTATTGTATTGGTTTAGGCATGGCAACTCTATGTCTTATTATTACTCTGAGGTTGATACTAATGATCTCGTAGATTAGGTACCTTCATGTGAAATAAATTCGTGGGTACTTACTACCTACCTAATTGTTACTGTGTCCATATTATAAATATCTTTATTATTTATTCATTTATTTATTGTTTGTAATATGTATTATGTTCATCATCATTTCACTATTATCCTACATTATTATCTTTATACTATATTATTTCAGTATTATCTTTGTATATAGACTAAATACAAAGGTATTAATTATCATTGTCTAATGATTCCCTCTCAGCTTTACAATGATATCGTTATGACAGATTTCGATATGCGTCTTTTCACCATCTATTATACAAAGGTGCAATCAGGAGGAATACGTATCAGAGGACATCGTGGAAGAAAACTGAAATAGATGGCGAAACTATCTTTTATCCCGCTTAACGCAAAAAATACTGCATTTACAATAAAAACGCTCGTGTTTATTTGCCTGGTAATATAAAATATTCGTAAGGTATTTTATTTTCACGTATGATGATATTTCAAAATATTCTTTGTTCATTTATTCTTCACTCTAATTTATTTTGGGATAAATTATATGGATTAATTCATCAGAAATTATTCTGGATAATTTCATCATATTAAAAAAATTCTATCAATAAATTGATGAATGAGCCGTTACTACGTGGTAGGAAATCATAATGAAGAAAAGAGAATTGAAACTTTCTATGTTTTTTATCACTTTTATTGGTAACTGACGTTACTGCAGTTTCATCCTATTATAAGGGCATTTTCAAACTTATACATTAAACTCATGTATAAGTTTTTTATACTTTTTTTTTAATGACTCAATTTCGCATTACGAGTAGTTGAAGTTGTTTGGGAATTTTGCTAGACGTTGATTTAGGTACTATTCCATCAATACATAATTGAAAAGAAAGTCATGTATAAATTGATGGGTGTAGCCGTTACTGCGTGGTAGGAAATCATAATGATGAAAAGAGAAATGAAACTTTCTATGTTTTTTACCACTTTCATTTGTAACTAACGTTACTGCAGTTTCGTCCTCTATAAGGACAGTAACGTTAGTTACAAATAAAATTGGTAAAAAACATAGAAAATTTCAATTCTCTTTTCTTCAAAAAAATTCCAATTTCACATTCAATAGAATCGAACGAACAATGATTTTGTCGCCTTTACCACAAACTTGATTCTACCATATTTCATCATTGTTTCAAACCCACTAAAATGAATCACTAGTTTGGACACTCGGCCATAAATAGAACAACTAACAAATGCAATCCTCCTCTTTTTATGTTTATTGTGTTTCAATACTCATACTAATACTTTTCTGACAAATACCTACTCTATTTCCTGGAACATAAATCAATATTAGCTACCTGCTAGGTAGATATTACTCATGTAAACCGCATATTTGTTTTATTGAAAATATATCGAAAATTGTGTCCCATGATCCTTTCCTACTGTAAAATAGAAAAAATGCATTACTGAAAAATGTGCCGAATTTCATTCTGCTGCTTTGTTTCAGTATCTGTAAACCTGACCGAGGTGTCACATCGCATTTTCCTTGTCAATAATCAAATTAGAACAATAAGGTATGTTACCTTATTTAAGGTATTGAAGAAAAAAACATTTTGTAATATGCACTCCGTGCATATGTGTTGTTTCCTGCTCTCGGCAAACAAGTGTTGCCCATCTTTGCACTTGGCTGCACCGCGCTGATGAGGCCAATAGCCAGAAACACGTGTCCGCGGTTTACCCCTCTTTTTGGAGTGTTGTGTCCACGAATTGTTCCATTTTTGATACGTATCATATACACACTCGATAAAATCTCTCTCTGTATATATCTGTACAGGGTGTAACATAAGTACTTTAAAATATTCAAGTGACGTATTCCTGAGACAAATTTTGAGGAAAAAAGTCTATATGAACTTGTGTCCGAAAATGCTCCGTTTCGGAGATACGGGGTGTTGAAATTGAATGTTTTTGTTCGCTTTTCGGAAATAACTCTTGCAAAAAATAAGTTATTTGCACAAAATTCGGTACCCGGGTTTTTTTTGACGTGGGAAATCATAATTGCGTATCAATTTTCATGTTACGTCTAGAGGGCGCTGCGTACGCTGTCATTATTTATTTCAAATTGCCACAACTTTTTTGACAGTAAACTTTTGGTACTTTTCACGAAAAAACCTAGTTTCCACACCTTTTCCAAGTAAAAAAGGTACACCTCCTCAACAACGCTGGAGGTGATCGTTTTCGAGATATTTACGATTTTCTATATCGATGCATATTACTTAGCTCCTAGGGCGCTAAGTGAAGTTGCTGAGAATATTACAAAAACTAAGTATGTGGTGGATCTCGTCAAAACGAACAACTTTTTCCTATAAAATGTTTAACGAAGAATGATTCGTTTTCGAAATACAGATTGTCGAAATTTTCAAAACATGGTATGTTTTTGTCATGAGTTTTTTGCAGTTTTAGTTATTTTTATCAAAATTTATACGCAGTATAAATTTAAAAAAAATTGTCAGGTTTAATTATTCAATTAGAAAGTGCCACATTTCGGAGTTGGTAAAAAAAAACAGTTCGGAGAAATACTATGTTATTTATTGGGAAAATGAACGAAAATTCAACGTAACAACTAATGCAACAACTGTTCAAAGTGACGACCCCCAACAGTAATACAAGCTTCTGCTCTCCTTATCAAAGAATTCCGCACCCGTTGAAAAATGCCCGGAGTGTATCTTATCGTTTCGCAGCAAGCTATGATGCGATACCTCAACATTTTCTCGTTTTGAATGGGGCTAGCATAAACTAGTGATTTTAGGTATCTCCAAACGAAAAACCGACGGGATTGAGGTCCGGTGACCTCGGGGGCCAATGCTCAGTGCCTCCTCTTCCTATCCATCGTTGGGGATATGCTACGTCTAAAAAACTTCTTGCTATCACACTAAAATGAGCAGGAGCTCCATCGTGCATAAACCAAGAGTGATTTCGGAGACCAATGAGAACATCTTCCATAAGCTGGAAAAGCTCGTGTTTCAAAAAATGTAGGTAAGCATCTCCATTCAAACGTAAGGGGATGATAAGGATATAATTGCTGTTCCTTTAAAATTCTGTGAACTGTCATGTGACTCACATTTAAAGTTTGACTAATTTTTCTTGTACTTGTCTCTGGATGTTCACTAATTTCTTCGAGAAATGCCTTCTCTAATTCTACAGTTTTTGTAGTCCGTGGCGTCCTACTGCAGAATTTGCTCCAAAAGATTCTCAAATGTCGCTGCACAGGGAGTCACGCGTTGGTGATACCTTTCCTGCCAGATGCGTCTGGCCTCGCTTGAATTTCCGTCAGCCAAGCCGTATGCAAAAACCATATCAGCCATTTCAGTATTCGTAAAGTCGGGCATGGTACCAAAAAATCACTTTATAAACTCCGAACTGTGAATTTGTCAATTAACAGTTAAAAATGTGACAGCGAACTTCTATTTTTATAAACAAACTTTCATAGCCTACTCGATTTAATTAAATTAATTTGCAAGCAGAGAGTGACAAAAATTATTGAAATCAAATTTGGCTAGAAAGTAATATGCACCGATATAGAAAATTGTAAATATTCGAAAACGATCACCTCCAGCGTTGTTGAGGAGGTGTACCTTTTTTACTTGGAAAAGTTGTGGAAATTAGGTTTTTTCAGGGAAAGTACCAAAAGTTTACTGTCAAAAAAGTTAAGGCAATTTGAAATAAATAATGACAGCGTACGCAGCGCCCTCTAGATGTTACATGAAAATTAATACGAATTTATGATTTCCCACATCAAAGAAACCCCGGGTACCGAATTTCGTGCAAATAACTCATTTTTGTAAGAGTTATTTTCGAAAGGCGAACAAAAAATTCAATTTCAACACCCAGTATCTCCAAAATGAAGCATTTTCGGACACAAGTGTTATTCTTATTAATTTTTATTTTATATTTGTGAATGAAAATTAGTGTTGTGATGTTTGAAAGCTAGTCAGAAATCATGGTGGAACTCGACTTTTCTGCTATAGGTAAGAATAGTTTTGCAAAACAGGTCTAGTTACTACCCTTCAATAAGGGATTATTGACATTTTGTGCCCCTGAAAATGATAGACTTTTTTTCTTAAAATTATCTCAGGAATACGTCACTTGAATATTTTAACGTACTTATGTTATACCCTGTATTTCAGTTGATATGGAACGTTACCCAATTTGTAATATTGTAATTTGTATTGTTTCATAACTATGTGAAATTTTTGCAGTTTTTTCAATGTATTCCACAAAATTCTCTGGAATTGGTATTCCCAAAAAATATAACAATTTATGACCCAAGTACATTATAATGAACTGAAATATGTTTGAAATCTTTTATCCTATTTTGGTACTTCCATTTCCTTATGTTGGTTGAATTGATAACAAGAATGGAATCATTATGTATTTTAATATTTTATTTTAAGGTCATGCGTAGTCGGATATCTCAATTGACGTTCCGTCGCTTCTCTGTGGTTTAATATTCTTACCGATTTTTCATCTGTCAATCTACCCACAATTATTTTATCCCAATGGCAACATTGTTTTTTAGTTAGTGCTTAGACTTTTAACGTATGTGATTGTTAATATGTTCTGTTCGCGTTTATCTGTGGTTATTCTTATTAATTTTTATTTTATATTTGTGAATGAAAATTAGTGTTGTGATGTTTGAAAGCTAGTCAGAAATCATGGTGGAACTCGACTTTTCTGCTATAGGTAAGAATAGTTTTGCAAAACAGGTCTAGTTACTACCCTTCAATAAGGGATTATTGACATTTTGTGCCCCTGAAAATGATTCACAAAATTTTTTTTCAATGGAATTATGTTACTTGTTTTCATTTTTCTCAAACCATCCAGAAATTGAATGAGAATATTAATGGATATCAGGCAGGCAGTGGAAAAATGTCTTTTCTATTTTCTATGGGTGGTACTTTTTTCTATGGACTTTCTTGATATTCATTTTTATTAGTTATCGCATTTACCTTAAAAATGAGATTTTTGGTATACTCACAGAAAAACTATTCTGAAATCGTCAAACCTACCAACAATAAATAATACAGACCAACTTTGTTCCTTTTATAGAAAATTTCTTACTAGGTTACGAGGTAATGAGTTATTACAAAAGGTAGCAAGACAAAAATCATAGAAAATAAATGTGATTTCACTTTTGGTGTCATCATTATATTTTTTCAAAACAGGAATTTTAAAGTTAATTTTGGAATCATGCCTTCAAGCAAATCAACTAATATTTGATATTGGGGTTATTTTAGATCCCATAGGTGTTCCAAAACTTTGTCATAGAATTGGTTAAGTGTTTTCTTTAATTATAGTAATGTCCGTTATATTAAAAGAATTGGACTGGTTAGTAGAACTGACTGTTTCTACATTTTTTTCAGTATTAGTTGAACATGTTTGATTCACATAAAAATATTTTTCTGAATATGTCAACAGGACCCTTGTCATATGACATTTTTTCTTATATATGCATTCTATCTTACCTATAGGGTTGTGTTATTACTAAAGGGTTACTGTATTTCAGCTTCAAAAAGAATTCATCAATAATTTGTAGGTGTGGTTTACTATCATGACAAAGTCCTGTTCAGTAAATTCCACAGAATTATCTGAGGTAGGTACAAGATTTCACAATTGCTTACACACTAAACTTCAGTGACTTTTTTGTACGCACTTGGAGAATTTTTTCCCTGTAGTCCTGTTATGAGCTAACTTCATTGTTTGTCCACCGGAACTTTATTTCTGGAACATAGGTATTTGTTAGTGCTTTTCTATTGGGTATGGTCTTTTTAATGCAAGACTCAGAAGTATCAATTTGACCTACAAATAAACCCTTAAGGTCTGCAAGTAAACTTTTTGTCGCAATTTCAGAATAGACTTGGATTTCTATTTGTTTTCTATCAGCTTCAATAGTTTGGTTGCCTGTTGAAACTTTTGTTTTGTTGTTGGTTCCAATCAGGACTCTTTGTTTTCTTTTAGTTGTCTGTTTGCCATGTTTATAGATTGTTTCTATTATACAAGGCCATCGCAAATAATAGGACTTGATTTGATAACCCTGAAAAAAATAAAAAAAAATTGAAAAAATGACCGAAATGATGAAATAGCATTTTTGTTCTGGAGAGGGAAAAGTGTTTTCGATACAGTGATAATAATATTTTTTTGAACTTTTGTTTTGTTATTGGCTCCAGTCAGAACTTTTTGTTTTCTTTCAATGTCTTTGTTACATATATTTACAGATTGTTCCTATTTTTCTACACAAGGCCATCGCAAATGATGGAACTTTTACTTTCACCTTCAACAATCTGAAAATTAAGCAAAGGCAAATCTAAACAAAAAATGATTACGGCGTTTTTTACGAGTGATTTTTTTTATTTTGAAAACTGAAAAGGATTATTTTTTGAAATGTCAATTAATTAAAGAAAGCGAGGTAAAGAAATTTAATTTTTTTTTCTGATTATTCAATTTATAGCCAATATTTATGAAAACATTTCAGTGTGCCCTTTATTACACCTAATTTTCTGAATTCCTTTTGAAGAAAGGAACAATGAACTACATATCATGGGAGAACCAACTCGTTACTTCGCAACAAATTGTATACTATTAGACTTGATAATCTGTTTGAAAAAGTTGAATGTCACCGACTGCACTCTTGTACTCTTGTACTCTTTTCAAAGATCATTGTCTAGTGACCCATCTGGAACCCATCTCAACAAATTCAAGTATTAGGTATAAATAACTATGTAGTCTCATCTTCATATGCAAGAAGTAGGTACACTTATGGCAGTACACTTATGGCGGTACACTTATTTTGTGTAGAGAAAATATGAGATTTGAAAACAGAAGTAACTAAGTTGCACTGAGCTGTAAAATGCATTGTGAGATATCAGCTGTAGATTCGCCAAACAATACGAGGAAATTCAAATACTTGGATATTATAAGCTCCTACGGATTCACTCAAATGATATTTGAGTCAACAAGATAACTATATTGACAATATCTTCATTAACTTCCATGGGAAGCTGAACACTGAAAGTAGCGTATATGTTCCCTCACTATCTGATCATGGGGCTATTGACATAAAAATCAATATACCACACCTATTGGAAAACAAAGCAGTAAATGAAAGATTCACTTATAGATCTTTAACCAACAGGGTAAAACTCATAATCTATGAATTGTTAGAAAATCACAATTATGACTTCATAGCCTCAGATATCAATATTAATGATAAATGGAACATATACTATGAAATATTTCTTGAATATATGAAAATATCATTTCTCGAGGTAAAAATAAAAAGTGTCAGGGAGAAAACTTCAACTTCAGTCAAGTGGTTTACTGATGATATAAGAAAAATGAGGGATGAGATGTATAGACTCAGCGATTTATATGCTGCTTCAGGTGTGATGAACTCGCACTAAAAGTATAAACTCACAAATACAAGCAAACTATTGATGAGGCAAAGGGCAAGGCAAACACTGACTTCATTGAACATTCAGACAGTATACTGCAAGAGTCTCTTGGAAAGTCATTAACACAAAAAGGACTATAAAAGCTGATAGAGAAATAATAGAAAATTAAATGAAAACTTCAAATTGTTGAGATTGTGAAACCTATGTACCTACTTCGATATATTTTATATAATTTATTACTTATATTTCTCTATCTGTGCTGTATTGACCTGTGTAAAAACTCAATGTTTATTTTAACACTAATAAAATATTCTATTCTATTCATGTAGGTAATCAGGATTTTGATAAGCGCGTAGCTTCGCTATGGCACTATTCAAGGTTGTGGATGACAATTATTCTTCCAAAGAATTTGACAGAATTGTACAAACTTTTGTTGAGTTGATTACATTATCTTGATTTTTCACATGATTCAGTGGGCCTCTTGACAAATTATCTTACTGGTCACTTCCAGTATACATCACTTAAGCAGAATAAATTTAATTTATTTTTGACATTCAATGGAGTCCCACATAGTTCAATTCTAGTTTCCTTATTATTTGTTATTTATGCGTCTCAATTTCAGGAATATCTGCACTATAACAACAGACCACCACTCCTTGATATAGGCACGAAGTATAATGAGCATAAAACTCTTGACTTTCATTCCTTAAGGACTATCACTTCTTTTTTTTCAAGTACCGACCTCAAAAACGGTAAATGATATTTGCTATTTGAAAAAACCATCTGACTAAACTTCCGGATGGGCAAATTCCATACTAGTACCACGGTGTGATATTTACCTCAAAATTGATTTTTCATTATCAGCTAAACTTTGTATGTTTGGTGACATGTCTAGTTAAACCTTATATGTATAGTTATATTTTCCTTCTTTGAGTCCATGTTACTAATTTCATGAATGAAGGGAGTTAGGTTCTAGTTGAATTCTTCCATTTTTGTACATTCAGTTGAATTATTTCAACAAAAAACTCATATATCTTGCTTATTCATTATAATCATATGCTTCGAGAGACGCATATGATTTCAAACACGAGTGTTTTCAATAGAGTTTAATGACTTTTGTAGTCTGGTTTTTGTGAACGTTTAAAAGATAACCACGAGTGGCGCTATCATTTGTTGGAAGTTACTTATTCGAATTTAAAGTCAAATCGATTTCAAAGAAAATAAGTTTAGACAGATTTCTGTCATTGAATGTGAATTATACTAATTCAAACTTCCATTGCCTAATATGATTTGAAATCTCTGATTGAAATGAACAGCTAAAGTATCAATTACATTAAGCAGTAAAACGTGAAATGAAATACAATAAAATGAATAAAATAATCAAGATAAAAGATGGAAATAACTACTTGGTAAACAGGAATGAAAATAAGCAAAAATTGAACAATTGATAAAAAAAATAAAAATAATTAAATTAAAAAAGATTTCAATGTACAAGTTACTTCACGACGTTTCGATTGTTAGTATTCACAATCGTCTTCGGGCGATACTAGTAATGGAAATATCGTGAAGTAACTTGGTTTGAATTTTTTTTTTAATTTTAATTTTTTCATATTTTTTTTTCAAATTCTTTTTTTCAAATTGGAAGGGTATGGACCCAAGATGGAGGTATTCCATTATTCATAGACCTTGCATCTGATAAGTTATCATTTATGTATACTGCCTGCTTTTTAGATGAGAGATAAGACTGGAAGAATTTTAAAGCTGATCATCTGATACCATGAAATTCAAGTTTCTCTATTAGTAAATGATGGTTTACACAGTCAATAACTTTGCTCAGATCCCACAATGTTAGAACCGTCTCCATTTTCTACGTTTCTAATCACCTGTTGGATGACTTCAAGCACTGTGTCGGTGGTGGATCTATTTCTGATGAATCCAAATTGATGTTCATGTAGAATATTGTGTTTATTCAGATATAGCATTTGTCGCTCTTTAACGATAATTTCAACGATTTTTCCCAAAAAAAGGTATAATTGAAATAGGTCGGCAATTATCAGGGGAATTCGGGTCTTCTTTTTTATGGATGGGTATTACCTTGCCGATTTTATATACATCCAGAAAATGTCCTTCAGTGAAATACTTGGTGATTTACTTATGTGAACTATCAGAGGTTCTACAAGAAGGTTTATAGTTTCTTTGAGGATTCGACTATTTAAATGATAAATTTCATAACAATTTGTGTTTTTAAGTTTATGAATTCCATCCACTACATCTTCATGAAGCACAGGAAGCATGAAAAAAGAATCACACGGTTTGGAAAAACGACTTAAATAGTCTAATGTACTGGTATTACATGCTGGAAGAGATTTAGTTATATTTTCCAGTATATTTAAAAAAATATATTAAATTCATTTGGATTGATAGTAGTAGTATTTTTATTGACCGTATTTGAAGAGTTTTGTTCAGAATTGATCAGTCTCCATGTATCCTTGACTTTGTTATTTGACATTTGAATAATATGGTCCTAGGAGTTTCTTTTTGCCAAATTTATTTCACTTTGGTATCTTCGTTTGTATTCTGCGAAAATAGCTTTATCTTTAGGATTTTTGGAAGAGATGCTGAATGTTTGAAGTGTATTCAATGTATTTCTCATTTGGCGCAAATCATTATTGAAAAAGTTTATTGATCTTTTGGCATATTTATTTTTAGATATCTTCAAAGGGAAAAATTTGGAAACAAGATTACTATAAGTATTATTGAGGGTTTCTGCTAATACTTCTAATGGATTTTTATCATCATAGAAAATATGCCAGTTAATAAGTAGAGCTTGGTTCATACCATCTAAACCCACTTGGTTTATTTGTCTGTATCATTTAATCTCGACGTTACATATCTGTTGTTTGAGAATATGTATGTATTGCCCCATATGATCTGAAATACAGGGATCACAAATACCTTCAACACACTCAGAGTCATGGATATTAGTTATAATATTGTCAATGCAACTAGAAGATGTGGGACCTATTCTAGTGGGAGTAGCGATCTTAGGTTTTAGACCAAAAGAATCTAAAATATTTAGCCAAGTTCTAGAAATATAATTGAGTTTATTTATGTCAATATTGAAATCTCCAATAACGATTATCCTTTTGTATTGATCTGAAATTCTTGTGATGATTGATTCAACTTTATTGAAAATTAAATCATAATCTTGGGACAAAGAGGACCTATAAGTAGTTATCAGGACAGTATTCGATTCAATTAACACGATTCCACAAAATTCTGCATGTTGTTCAACACAAAACGATTCTAAAAGGAGTGGTTTACAAGTTATTTTGCCATTTGCATATATTGCAGCATCACCGTGTTGCATAGTTTTTCTGCAATAGCATGATATAAGGTTAAAATTGTGAATGTTTAAAATATTCAAGCAGTCTATATTTGGCCAATGTTCAGTCGAGCAAATAATATCATGACGTTTATCTTCAAGATATAATCACAACTGGTTAACTTTATTAGTGAGACACTGAATGTTCAAATGAAAAATCTTCAAAGAGTCTTCCTGAAGATTTTCTGTGGAATCGTTTATCCTAAAAAACTCAATGGTTGGGATGCACCAGCTTCTCCTAAATTATTGTGATCACTCAGGAATCTCTT